ACACACACACACACATATATATAAATATATATATATATATATATAATATATACAAGTATATGGATATGTATATATATATGTAATACATATACGTGTGGGCGAGTGTTTGTAAACGGGCGTTTAGAAAGACAAGTGCGTATTATTTATAGTCCGCACACTATCCTCACTGGTCCATAGCTGGTATTATACTATAGCAAGCATGTGGGTGAAACTCACACTCTGTGTGTCTGTGTGTCTGTGTTTGTCTATGGTACGTGGCAAATAAGACAGCTGTAGTATTCAGAAGTTGCGCATAGGTGTAGAATGAGCCCTGTACTACAGTAGTTTGCTTCGTATGTACAGTCCACTATAACGTGTGCGAAACGGTTTCTCTTAGGTGTGTATTCGATTAGTTGTTGTATAACTACAGCATTGGCTGATGGTTGGAGCATGAGAGTCTCCACTGTCCGATATGAAACAGGCGCAGAGAATTATTGACCCCACGGCAATGCACAGCCTCTCATGTGCACCACTTCAACACTCGCGTAGCACACGTCGCACTCACTCTCTATTCGTCTGTCTTTGATATGCATTCGGCCCTGACAGTCATCGGGCGTGCAGGTCAACACCATTGGAAGAGCATTAGACACGGAGACCTTCCAGTCGTACTATGATGGTCAAAGTACATGTACACCACTCTAGCACTCGAGTAGCATGCACCACACGAGTCTATTCGCCGGTCTTTATTCTAATTATGGCAGTGACAGAGTTCTAGCGCTTGGGGTTTCACACCGGCTGAACGGTGCTAGTTATACAGAACTTTCAGTCATACTCTAATGCTCCCTCTCTGTATGTCTGGCCTGGCTGATAATGCGTCATATCACATTCATACATCAAACTCACTCACTTACTCTCTGTATGTCTGGCTTGGCTGTTAATGTGTCGCACCACATTCATACATCACACTCACTCACTCACTCTCTGTATGTTTGACTTGGCTGTTAATGTGTCACATGTAGAGTCTTCGGGCGTGCGGGATTGCACCGTTTGAAGGGCACTCGGAATAGAGACTTCTCTGAGAGCGACGCCGAAACGTCGTTCCCTGGTGTCAGTGTAGACGACAGTATGTATGCGTGACACGTGAGCTTGTACATGGGCTACGTGTACACTGCCACGTGCCCCTGCATAGATACATATGTTCCGAATGTGACACCATCGATATATACATACATATATTCACACACACA